CACGACACCCCTGCCTGTGCCATTGATTTCTACCACTCTCTGCTTCATTCTCCAACTGCAGAGGCACAGTCTACCGATTTGGCTGATTGTTACAGCTGATAGTCTGAAATTATAATAATTGCAGATTTATACTCACAGGGTGCGGATACTAGTAAAATCATCAGGGTAAAAGACAGAGACACTCAGAGGAAAAGACAACGATCCTCAGATCTCCCACTGCTCCTTCACCATTAACTGAGAAAGAAAACATTACAGACAATGGTGTTTGAGGAATACATTTAATCCTAACAACATAATCAATTATTGGCCATATTCATGATTTAGTGTGTTTTAATATAGTACATAAATATACTTCAGAACAATTTGATCAGAATTACTTTGCGAAGAAGACAGGTGATTTCTACTTTGAGGTGAACAGGACTGATGTTTATAATATATATGTTGTTTCCTTAAATGAATTGCATAAATAGTTAATTAGATGGAATATTGTATGATGTTAAGTTCTCTCACCTGTTTTCAGTATGAGTTCAGTCATCAGTGCACCAGCGTTCAGTACCACCAGAACAACTGATCCGAACAGATACACAGGAACAAACGTGGGAATATCTGTGAGTTTGATTAATACAATTTATTATCATCATTTAGTAAAAACAGAGAAAACATTAAACAGTTAAATAAAAGGTTTAAATGAGAAAAACATCAGTATTAAACAACAGATCAAACCACTGGTTCTTCGTTCAGTCAGTCTAGATGTAAAATCTTTCTGATTAGTTTCTTTAATCTGTTCAGAGATCGACAGACTTCACTCTTCTACTGTTTATCTGAGACGGACTGACTGAAACTACTGAAAGAGTCTTCTGATAGTGTTTATTTTTCAAGGTTTCTTTTCTTTTACTGCTTCACAGTGTGACAGTATTTATGTTAATTACTAGACTAGATATCTTTAAACTAGATAGGAGTAAGATAGGACTGCTTCATGAAGCTAGAAAAGTGTCTTCCAGGTCAAACAAAAACAATTTAAACACAAATGACCATCCTGAAGATAAATGTGATTTTTATTGATAAATGTGTTATTTGCACATATGATGGGGGTGAATACTTTCCATACACACCCTCGAAACATAATTTTCAAAACAGTTTATAACATATATATATATATATATATATATATATAAACATAATTAAACTTTTGT